TGTGGGCAAAGACACCGCTGCGTGTCGTATTCTGGAAATAGTCACGGTTAGCTAACGGAAATGATGGGTACCATTCTCGGGTAAAAGCACCAACTTTTCCCACTTTGCCATCCATTACCGTTAAGCTTTCATTTTTAGCCGTACATAATTTAAGCCACACAATGACTAAAAGGTGAGTGACTGCCATTGCAACATGTAATGTCTCTGCATTTCTCTGGTAAGGGGGCAACTGCTGTGCTTATTGCCCCCCCCCGCCCCGCCGCTGGCGCCACTAGGCTACCGGCCTTGTTGACCCTACACTATACACATGTAATGATTACACTGCATGTCTGGGCACGTGACGTAACCCCTGGCAGGGAAGGCGGCTGCACGAAAGTGTGATAGATCAGCGCCGCATTCACACCGTGACTCTACGTCACATTTTCTACAAAAATCTCAACTTTTAATGGTCAGGTAGTCCTTATATTAGCTTCCTGCTACTTGTTTTAAGAATATAATAGCAAAGCCACCAGCTCTATGCATAGTTTAAGCTGTACACGTTATTGCGCGCAACATAATATTTTTCTCAGATATCACAAACGCTACTCTGCGTGACTTCGCGTGGCGGGCTACTAAACAACGTTTTGAAGTATTACTTCACACTTAGGCCACCTTTTTTATTTTGTGGTTTACAAGACTTTTTGCCTTGATTGTTGTTGACCTACCGTCAATAGAGTAAAAAAAAATTGTTTGTCGAGATCAAGACAAGTCAAGAATACAAGTGATACTGTAGTATCACATGATATAAAGTAATTTTAAAGAAAACTAAAATGACAAAACAAACTCAACTTGTAATTATTTTTAGCTTTTATTATAAACTATTTCAGTTACCTCGCCAAGGGGCTGGCGGGGTTATGTTTTCAGCCGGCGAGTTTTGAATGTGTGGTTTGGTGTGTTTGTGTGTTACCATGCACGTTTCCAGTTCAACTTCACGCTAGTGCGCTGGCTGTAGACTTACAAAACACGACAGCCTGGTGACAGGCTAAGGGCCACCACAGTCCTCCCCACCTGCGTGCTCGCACAATATCCGGATCCAATAATTATTTAATTACATTAAATTAATTAATTAACACTTGTTTCCACTTAATTTAATTAATTCATTCATTAAAAATTTCACAATGGAGAGAATTCAGCTGCCTTGGCTTCAGTGCTCTAGTTTATGAAATGTTTTTGTTTTTTACATTTAAATTTGTTTATTCATATTATATATATATATATATCATATAATATATTATATATATATATAATATATATTATCACTATATATATATGATATATGATATATATGATTATATGATATATATGATAATAATATATACTTATATACTATATATATATATATATATATATATATATATATATAATTATATATATATTATATATTATATTATATATTTCTTAGAGAAAAGGTCGCGGGCAATAAAAACATACAGATTTTCACATTTTTTATTTTTTTTCGTTTTTCTTGTAAATTCGGGTCGGCGGATCTGTAAACCAACAAAATAAAAAATTCTCGCCTTAAGCCTTTTCGTAGAATACTATAACTTTGATCTGAGTTATACCTGGTGAAGTAGGTACCTAATACCCTTGATCACTCCATACATCATTTGCACTGCTACTTCTCTTCAAGTGAGCAACATCCTCCTAAGTAGGTGACTCGTGTGACACTATTCTGTGACTCGCGTGACATAGTAGCTCATAGCGTTAACAAATGTTAGGGTGCAACCAGAATGTTAGGATCCATGAAGAAAATGTTCATACTTAGTTACTTACTACCATGTTTAATTGTGAAAACAGGGAAAATATTGTAAGTTTCAGCTTTGTATGGGAAGAATGGTGCATTCACTGTGCATGGGTTGCCAACGATTCTATGACTACTACCCCTTGACAATTACACCCCTAGGACAACTACCCCCCTAGGACAATTACCCCCTAGAAGAATTATGCAGATGGTAGTAGTCCTCCTAGCAGTAACAGTATGGTGATGGGTAACGGTCCTGAGAGGGTAATCATGAAGTTGGTAAAAGTTCGATGTGTGGTGGTCTAAGATGGGCCATCATTACTGTGTCCTAGGGGGTAGCCATCTGTGTGGTAGTTGTCTGGGTGGTAGTTGTCCTGGGGGCGAGGGTAATTGTCCGGGTGGCAATTGTCTGGGTGGTAGTTGTCCTAGGGGGATAATTATCCTAGGGGGTAGTTGTCCAGGTGGTGGTTGTCTTAGAGGGGGTAATTTTCCGGGTGGTAGCTGACCGGGGGGTAGTTGCAGTCTGCACGAAAAACTTCCACTCTCATTGGCCCAGTGGGCCTGTGAAATGTATAATTCACTGGCCCACACTAGGTTTTACAGGCCCGAATCAATGATCATCATAATATGAAAAGAGAAACAGAACTCTTTGGTGAATTCTTAGAAATTTATTCTTTCATGAAATTGAACAAAAAATTATCCACTTCCCTCTCCCCCATCTCATTGTCACTGCCATCACGCAGTTTTCACGCTCATTCATAATATGATGCCGTGTAAATATGATCGGTAAATATCGGTAAATTTTCATACAAAATATGGGGAATTTCGGTAAATGCTAAGACTGATCATCACATAAAGGAGCTGAAATATCATTAATAGACCATTTACTCAATTTTTTCCCACTGGCCCATCGGGCTTGTTCATTTACCAGTTTTATTGGCCCCACAGAAAATATACTGGCCTCGGATACCGGGGCAGTGGTTAATTTCGCAGACTGTAGTTGTCCAGGGGGTAGTTGTCCAGATACGTTTGCCAACATGTATTGTGTGCTACGACAACAACAACCATTTCGAAGCGTTCGTACTTTTAATATTTTACACGCTTTTTAAAAAATAGTAGTTTTTAGTGTATCCTTTTAAATGTGCTTAGGCCTAATGGTGATCACCTAACAGTGTGGCAATTTGGGGCATCCTAAACCAATAAACGGCGGAACGCATGGAAAACAGACAGACAGACAGAGTTCGTTTTTGTAGTAGTACAGATAGAATTATTTATTCATATAT